CCCGAGGATGGTGTCAAATATGCAAGGGCATGGTGGGGGTCGATATGGGGTGAAGAAGAGAAGGCATAATGTTAGATTGCGTTTTGGGACATGGAATGTTGGCTCTCTTACGGGAAGATCAGCTGAGATAGCCGAGGTTATGAAGAGGAGGAATATCAACATAATGTGCATGCAAGAAACTAAGTGGGTTGGAGAAAAGGCACGTGAGATTAATCCCGTAGGTTTTAAGCTTTGGTACTCGGGGAGAGAGAGGAAGAGAAATGGAGTAGGCATTATGGTGGCATATGATTATGTTGACGGTGTGGTTGAAGTCTTTATGAAGAACGATCACATTAAGAGCATTAAGTTGATAATAGGGGAAGAGATCGTGTCCGTGGTTAGTGCCTATGCACCACAAGTGGGATTGGATGAATCTATCACTCAACAATTTTGGGAGGGTCTTGAGGAAGTGGTGCGATGAGTGCCAAAGGGAGAGAAACTGGTCATAAGAGGTGACCTCAACGGGCATGTAGGCCCAAGTCGTGATGGTTTTGAGAGTGTCCACGGCGGACATGGTTTTGGCACTTAGCATAGGATGCTTGTGCTTGATTTTCGAGGTAAAAAGAGGAGACGAGTTAAGGTACAAGGGGAGCCAAAGATAAAATGATGGAAGCTCGAGGGGAATCTCCAACAAAGTTTTGCACACAAAATGTTGGAGGATGATGTTTGGTCTATTGAAAATGACGCACACGTGGATGATGTGTGATTATCAATGGAGTCCACCATTAATAAAGTGGCGAAGGAGATACTCGGAGAATCTAAAGCATATCTGCCACCAAAAAAGGACACATCTTGGTGGAATGATGAGGTGAAACAAGCAATAAGGACCAAAAGGGAATGCTATAAGAAATTGGGCAAAAGTTGGAGCGACGAGAACATAGAGGAGTACAAAGAGGCTAGAAGAAGAGCAAAGAAAGCTGTGAAGGAAGCCAAAGGAAAAGTGAACAAGGAATTGTATGTAAAGTTGGATTCTAAGGAAGGAGAAAAAGATATCTACAGACTTGCTCGCCTTCATGACCGTAGGACTCAAGATATCAGAAAAGTTAAGTGTGTGAAGGATGTCGATCAAAGGGTACTAATGGACGACGAAGAAATAAAAGAGAGGTGGAGGTCATACTTTGATACCTTAGCTTGTTCAACGAGAATAAAGTCCAAGGTATTGATGATCTTACTATACCAGAGTGTATGGTAAATAGAAACTTCGTGAGAAGGATTCAAACAAAAGAAGTTAAAGAGTCTATGAGAAAAATGGGCCGGAAGAAAATAGTGGGCCCAGATGGCATACCGATCGAGGCTTGGAGAAGTTTGGGAGAGAAAGGCATCGAGTGGCTAACACATTTCTTCAACATGATTTGGAAAAACAACAAAATGCGAGTGAGTTGGCGGAAGAGTACTCTCATTCCGTTATTTTAAAATAAGGGTGATGTACAAGAATGTGCTAACTATCGAGGGATTAAGCTTTTGAGTCACACCGTGAAACTTTGGGAGCGAGTGGTTGAGCAAAGACTTCGTAAAAGTGTGAAAATTTCGGAGAATCAATTTGGTTTTATGCCTAGACGCTCAACAACTGAGGCCATTCACCTTCTTAGACAAGTTGTGGAGAAGTATAGAGACACTAAAAAGGATCTGCATTTGGTGTTCATTGACTTAGAAAAGGCATATGATAGGGTACCTCGAGAAGTTCTTTGGTGAGCCTTAACTAGAAAATGCATATCACGTAAGTATATCAGCATCATCATGGATATGTATGATGCTTGTACTACAAGTGTCCACACTAGTGTAAGGAGGACCGTAGAGTTCCCTATTACTATCGAAGTGCACCAAGGATCTGCTTTGAGTCCTTTCTTATTTGCTATAGTCATGAATGAACTTACCAAGTCAATTCAAGAAGATATACCGTGGTGCATGATGTTTGTCGACGATATTGTATTGATTGATGAGACACAATCTGGTGTTAAAGAAAAGTTGGAAGTATGGCGACAAACATTGGAGAGGAAGGGTTTCAAACTGAGCCAAAGCAAGACTGAGCATATGGAGTGCAAGTTCGGTGGAGGTAGAGGTAGTAGCAACAATGGGATTACTCTTGATGGTAAGGAGATACCGGTGTGTGATATGTTCCGTTACTTGGGATCCATAATTTAGAAGGATGGTGAATTAGATGAAGATGTATGCCATAGAATCAGAGCTGGGTGGATGAAATGGAAAAGTGCTTCAGGAGTTCTACGCGATCGAGGTATGCCAACTAGACTGAAAGGTAAATTTTATCGTACAACAATTAGGCCGACATTAATGTATTAGGCGGTGAAGCAATGTCACATTCAAAAGATGAGTGTGACAGAGATGTGTATGTTGCGTTGGATGTGTGGACATACCAGAAAAGACCGCTTGAGAAATGAGGTAATCAGACAAAAGGTGGGAGTAGCACTTATAGAAGATAAGATGCAGGAGTCTCGTTTGCGGTGGTTTGGGCATGTGCGTAGAAGACCGAGTGATGCACCTGTTAGACGACTTGAGGGGTGGGGAGAAGAGTCAGAGAAGAGAGGGAGGAAAAGATCCAAACAGACTTGGATTAGAGGAATCAGAACTGATATGCGTCTTCTTGGGTTGGATGAGAGTATGGCTTTGGAGAGAGCAAAGTGGAGGACACACATCCGTGTGGACGATTGATGTCTTGTCTACCTTTCTTCTCTTTTTTCTTTTATCGTTTATCTTCCTTATCTTTTTATATTCTTATGTCATTTTTATCTTCTAGCTTTTTTATGCTCTTTTATTTTTTTTCTTTTATCTTTGTTATATTCTTATGTTATTTTTATCTTATATTTATTTATCTTTATTTTATTCATTTTATCTTACTTTTTTTCCTTTTCTTGTCCGTCTTCTAGATATCATAGATCTTTATTGATATCTTAGATCGACTCATGTTAGCCGACCCCAAATTCTTTTGAACTTGGATGTTGTTGTTGTTGTTGTTGTTGTTGTATCTTTTTATGTTATTTTTGTTCTGTCTTTTTATGCTCTTTTATCTTTTTATTTTTTATCTTTCGTATATTCTTATGTTCTTGTTATCTTATATTCATTTATCTTTATGTTATTTGTTTTATCTCACTTTTTTTCTTCTTTTTCTTGTCTGTCTTCTCTTGTTGATATCAATATCATAGATCGATTCATGTTAGCCGACCCTAGCTAAAATCTTTTTGGATTAAGTCTTGGTTGTTGTTGCTGTTGTGTGTGTCTGTCTATTTAGAACATAGTAAGAAGAAGAATTTAGTATTCACCCATATTGCAGTAGCTCATCCACCTCTATGTCAAGAAGAGTTTTATTGAAATACTTTATTGTAGTATTATTTTTTCATTAGCAATACTTGTTTTTATTCTGTTTCGATTATGTTTGGTTTAGATATTTGGATATTTGGAGTACTTTTGATATGCATTGTTTCGGTTCCGGTCGTTTTAGGCTTAATATTGTTCATTTCGTGTCTAACGAGTTAGGTTTCTTTATATGAGGTGGCTGACTCTATGTCTATTTCTAGGGCTTACAATCGGATCTGTTATAACTGTTTGGAGATATGTTATCTTGTATGCTTTCTCGGTATTAATATAAAAATCCGCACTTTTATATTCAAAAAAACTCCTAGTTATCTCCATTATTTAGAGATCCCACTTCAGTTTGCATCTTCACCACATGATAAATCATATCCTGCAAATAGCCTGAAGCTTCATACTATATACGAGCCGCTAAACATGATTTGATGTTATTCCAAAAAAAAAGTTCATTTCGTTCCCTCCATATATATAGGCCCAAAGTTACATAAGATCCTCTTGAAGAACTCATATTTTCAACTTGTAAAGATACTATTCAACCCAAGCAATAAAAGGTATCTCTCTCTTATCTACAAAATGTCATCCTAGGAAATCTCATAATTGTCTCGTTACATCGTACAACACAAATAGATGCATATGATTCTCCTACACATAAAAGATCAGTCCACTCTTGATGCTATAAGTTTATCCATCATCACTAAACATGTAGTGCATGTTTGCCATAGAAAAATCTTAACTTTGGAGGTAAACGTAAAGCACAACTTAATATGAATTAAACATAGAATCAAAACTTTCAGTTTTTAATATCATAAAATTTAATCTTACTCATTTTGTGAAAAGTGTTAAATTTGTTCAAAGGATAGTTTCAATATGCGAGTTTATTTATAATATTTACATATTTCCATATAAAATAATCTCACTTCTTAATAATATGATGAGTTTCATTTAAAACATTTGGCATCTTCATGAGATGTGACAAACAATTTCATGAGCATATACTCTATCCGAGATTTGACCCATGAGTTTGGATAGGAAAACACATCCTCATACATTGTGTATTTATATTATGAATTAGAAACACCGAACACTATACTTTATCGAGACTACATTAAGATTATGATAAGACCAATGCGACAATATTGTGTACACTAAAATGGAACACAATGTAATATAATCAAATGTGTGTGTTATGTAGATTTAGAGTAAAATATATCTGGTTGCATTACTACTCATTATGGTTTAGTTTTTTCACTTTTAGTCCTCACACTTGATATATGTAATTGAATATTTTTCATTTTTATCCATTTGATTATATGACCAAGACACTTTTGTTACATACTTGGGAATCTTTCCACTTTTAGTCTTATGATTATTGCACTAGTTTCACTTTTGGTCATGCAACTATTGGTCTCTCAAATATTATTATGATTAAATACATGTATAAAAATGTCTTTATATAACTCATAAATATATAGTGAGAAAGCTAAATATGCAGAAAAATTCTGGGAGTATCAAAGGCATCATTGACAAAGTAGTCGGAGTACTAGAAGTGGATAAAACCCCATTATGATGCACATGTTTTGTTGTTGTTATCAACATATATCCATTCTTTGATTTAGCTGTTCGAACTTCTTTTGCAGTGTAGGTACTTCGATGCCATCACTTTCTTTAGAAGATTAGATTCAAATTCGAAAAATATTTCTGGTGGCAGGTGGTGTTAAAGATCAATCACATTCCCTGCCCCTGAAGTTAGCTTTTCATAAAGTAGTGTTTCATAGTGTGACTTTAGTAGATATGGTATTATAGCTACAACGGAAAAATCCTAACGAAGTACAGAAGATGGTTTTTGATTCTGAAGAGGAGCAATCAGAGGATTACCTTTTCAAGATTGTTTTGGTTGGTGATTCAGCCGTTGGGAAATCAAATTTGCTTGCTAGGTTTGCAAGGGATGAATTTTATCCAAACTCAAAATCAACAATAGGAGTAGAGTTTCAGACGCAAAAGATGGAGATAAATGGGAAGGAAGTGAAGGCTCAAATTTGGGACACGGCAGGCCAAGAAAGATTTAGGGCTGTAACTTCTGCATATTATAGGGGTGCAGTGGGAGCCCTTCTAGTGTATGACGTCAGTAGACGGTTGACTTTTGAAAACATCGGCAGATGGTTGAATGAACTCCAGAGTAAGAACTATATGATGTTAAGCATTGCCTTTTCCCTAGTATGAATTTTTCATTTTATGACATTAATTAAAAGTGCATGTCACCCATAGTCTCAAATTATTTTTTATGAATGAATTCTTTTAAGAATAATATTTCCCTATATTCCAACACCTTCTTGGACAATAGGCACACAAATTTCTACAATATTTTACACCTGTTAGATTGTTTCCATAATATTCAATCGTATGAAAATTAAACATGTTTCAAGAAAATACAAAATCAAATTGTGATACTAGATGTTGCATGAATTTATGAAGGCATATTACTGATATACTATTACGGCATTAGAAAACCACTCCCTTTGTCTCTATTATAAAGTTTCCGTTTTGACATTTGTAGTCAAAATTTATTTACTTTGGTCGTTAATTTTGATTAAATAATACAAAATTATAACATCAAACTAGTTTCAGTTATTTTGTTTTAAAATATATTTTATATATGATTTAATTACCTTCATAAATATATAATTATAAATAATAAAGGTTAAAGATGTACATGAAAGACCGTTATCGTCAAAATAATTACACAAAATAGGGAAGAAGATAGCAGTCTTGTGTGGTCAAGGAATGTTATATTTAAAATACGTATTTGTTGAATTAACTAAATGTGTCATATTTAACTCATTTGTAACTTGTTTAGCAAATTGAGGGAAATTTGAAGGAAAAACTAGTTTTTGTTTGATAAAGTTGGTTTTTGAAATAGTTTTTACACAATTCATGTTTTCCTTATGACTTGATGTTATTTTTTTACTATTTGTGTTGAAAACAGCTCACAATGACATGAATGTAGTGACAATACTAGTTGGAAACAAATCAGATTTGATAGATGCCCGAGAAGTAACCATAGCCGAAGGTAAAGCCTTGGCTGAAGTGGAGGGTATGTTCTTCATGGAAACATCAGCACTCAACTCGTCAAATGTATCGGCAGCCTTCCAAACTGTTGTCAAGGAAATATATAATATCTTGAGCCGCAAGGTCATCCAATCTCAAGAGCTCAAACAAGATGATTCTGATCGGCTTGCAAGTGGGAAAACATTAGTTTTACATGATGAAGAAAACAAACAAGCTACAAGAGGACAAGAAAAGAAAGGCACGTGTTGTTCATCATGATTATCTGGGAGGGACACTGTTCTCTTCTCATTTCCTATCTTGTAATATATATATATATCTATATATATATATATATTCTTTTTCTTTACACATTTATATGACTTAATATGTGTATGAACTAAAATTGATGATATTGTAGCATCCTTGACGAGAGAAAGTATCGTTTTTTGACAGTAGGGAAAGAATCATTTTATTTTACCTTAAGAAAAAACCATTCTAGATAGTTGAAGGACATGAATGTATAAAATACATTGTATATTTTTTAATTTCTTTTTTATTTTTCATATTTTAGTTGTAGAAAGGAAGAGCATTAGTGCTTTATTTTGTTTCTCTCTAGCTTCATAGCATTTCTTTCCTTTTTCACTATTAGAAATGTCAAAACCTTACACGTATCAATCAAACCAATATTGTACTAAGTGAATATTCGGTAGTTTTGCGCAATAAATCTTGCTCCCATTATTTGGTTAGTTGTATACTTGTTTCATAAAATGAATGTAAAGTGGTTAGTTGTTTACTTTCAAGGTTCTTTAGTTATGAAGTTCAGGTGAAATTAAATCTGAATGGGTGGAAGCTTACAATACACAGAGCAAAGAGAAAAGTAGTAAAATGTTTCCATTCAAAAATTAAATACCAAAACAGAAGGTAACCATAAAATATCAAAATCCATCCCGGCTTATAAGGGCATCCCCCATCCATAAGATAATTTGGAGATCGTGTTGAGGATGTGGAAGATCTTTTTAGAGATTATGGTTGAGGAAATGAGATTATTTTGAAAGATTATTTAGATAAAAAAATTTGGTATCAAATATTGAATGTTAGATTAATCAAGATTATTCTCAAGTTTCAATAAACATATTTAATGCAACCATATCTTTAATTTAATATGACTAATATAGCTTTTTGGAAGTAACAAAAAACTCCATAAAAAATAAATAAGAAAATAGATATCTTGGAATTGGTAAGCTTTGATTTTGTTTAAGTGACAATGTCATGACAAGTGAAAAACATAAAATGTCGATTGTTTGAGGGGCATGGATGGAGATGCTCTAATATCATTCCACAAACCTTTGGTTCCTTTTCGTCGACGTCTCTCTCAATTCATTAATCGCCTTTCAATTCCAGACGCATTAATTGATTATGAATCTATAATTTTTCATTAACGTAAGTATTAATAAAAAGAATAGTGTGAACATTTATTAATCAAATGTTTCGAAAATTTCTTTGAGATGAGAATGAGAAATGTGGTTGTCAAAGTTGAATATGATGAGTGTCTCTTGATTACTCCGTATGCAATGGCAATAAAAGTTGGGAACAATGAATTGAGCCCAAACCACCTGCCTGACGATGAGGTCACAAGTCGAGAGAGGTGATGACGCCGGAGGCGGAGGGCAATAATGGCACGCCTTGACTTACTCGTATTGGAGGCACAACTAGTATTGTGGCTGCATGTGTTGTTCTTGAATCCTGGAAAGAGCTGCCTCCGCATGGCGGAGGTCTTAGAAATGGACAGTCATGATTACCTGTCTTGTTCTCTTCATTTAGACGCCGATCACGTCATCAAACACGTATGACTCCCTCCTACCACTGGGCTCCCTACACACACACATATGGAATCAAATATGGGCATTTGCCATTTTAGTCCTATAACTTTCAGGTGTTATCGTTACTAGTCCACTAATTAACTTTAATCACTTGCAAATTTGATCATGTAACTAATAAATCTTTACAATTTAGGACTTTTCCACCGGAAAGTATACTTTCCGGCAGAAAAATCCGACGCCAGTGACATCTTTTCCGGTATACTATCGCCGGAAAGTGTACTTTTTAGGGAAAAAGTCTTTAAATCGCAAATATTAATTAGATGCAAGACCAAATTTGTAGGTGACTAAAGTTATGTGACTAATAACAAAAACGACCCAAAGTTACGGGACGAAAGATGCAAATTTCTCGGATGAAATATATACACCTTCTAATTTACAAGCTACAAGCTTGTCTTGGGCATGTGATGATTTGATCTAAAGATATAGATGCACCATGACATTTCAGTAATAAAAACAAGATTTTTTGGATGCATCACTTTGAAGGTTAATATGCAACTGCTTGTTTCATTGCAGAATAATATGTAACACTTTGAACGTGAATATGCAATACAAATAGCAGAAAGGTGCATCGTACAAATATTTGCACAATAAGCACTATTTGTATATGATCCCACCCACACACATATACATATAAGATTAAGAAGTGTCTCTACTTGAATCTTCACACACAAACATTTACAAATAACAAGATATTTTAATTTTAATTTTAGTATAAGACATGGATTTACATTTTAATTCATTCACATTAGTGGGGGACCTAGGGAAGGGCCTGGAGGGCAAATGCCCCAGCTTCTGACCTTGAACTTTGGTATTAGTACACATAGGATAAAAATAGTGCCCCTATCGGAATAAAATACTCAGTACTTCATATAATTATTAGATGAAGCAATAATCTCGTCAAAGAGCACATAGAAATTGTTATAAGACATTAAAAGGATTGTGGAATTATGATGGAATGATTGCTCACGGTTACACATGTTGTTGACACGACCATTATTTGGAAAGTGGCATTGGTGGTATTTTTGCGAAGTATGAATTATCTTTGTTAATAATAAGATATCAAAGTTATAATGAGACTTCTAATCTACGTGGTGAGCTTAATGAATTGAAGACTCTTATGTTGAATAAAAAATGAAAGTTCATACACAAGATATTTTCATTCTTTTTACACCAATTTCATCAACTTATTGTGGATGTTGCATAAAAACAAGTTTGTAGATAATTTCTATAAATATTTGTCCATGATTACTAAAATGGTGGGATCATCTGAGAGTTCACATTTTACAACTATTGATCGCATTCTGTATGTGATCATCATCTACAATGTACGTTTATATATGACAATATATTTGATGACAATACTTATTTAAAATCAAAGGGCATTGCAAGTAGCTTGGTATTGACAGAGGGTTATCAATTTATTTTTATTGCTCACTTGATTAAGAAAGTATTGTGATTGATGAATATGATATGTTGTGACATCTGTTCCAACAAAAAATTCAAGTTGTCCCTGAGGTTGTGAGCTTGTTTAAAAACACCATAGATAATTTTCAATATTTAAAAACAGCAAAACTATCACCAAACTACACAAAAAATCACTAAATCATAACCTTCAACGCCATTGTTAATGGAGTCGTATCTTTATTTGTGAATTTTTATTTTCATAATTTATCACCACACTGTTTCTTAATTTTAACAATAAACACGACAACTATATATAGTCCTTTTAGTAATACTAAAAGTGATTAAATCAAGTGAATTTATTGAAATTGATGAAATGATGGTTGAAGCGTCTGAACTGAGTGAATCTGTTGAATCATTGAAAACTCATATTAAAAAATTATTAATAAAATAAAGAAAGATTTATGTGAAAATTAAATTAGCTAAAAATAATCTTCTACAATAATTTCAGTCGAATAGTAATTTCGACCTTACTTATTTTGATTATTACACCCTTCAACTCGAAATATCAAAAGTTACATGTTTGGAAAAATATTACAAGGATGATAAACCGAGTCAAAGAAAGACTAAATATATGTAATGCAATTTCAGTGGAGGTAAAAGTAGTGGTAACAGTGGGGTTGCCTTTAATTCGGTGGCAATGATATACCGGTATGTGATATGTTCCGTTAATCGGCCTCCGTAATTCTGAAAGATAGTTAACTAGATGGAGATGTCTAAAGCATCCGAACAGGGTGGATGAAATGGAAGAGTGTATCAAGATTTCTATGTGTTCGAGGCATGTCGATTAGACTAAGGAAAATTTTTATCGGACAACAATTGCACCTGCATAATTATTGTAAGGGTTAGAGTGTTGAGCAGTAAAACAATGTCACATTCAAAAGATAAGTGTAACATTGATGCATATGTTACGTTTGATGTGTGAATATACCAAAAAATACCACATGAGGAATGAGAGAATCAGACAAAAAGTGAGAGTAGAATTTATAGAAGATAAGATGTAGGAGTCTCCATTGAGTGATTTGATCATGTGCCTAGAAAATCGAGCTATGCACTTGTTAGGTGAGTTGAAAGATGGGGAGAGAAGGCAAGGAAGAGAGGGAGATGAAGACCAAATCATATGTTAATTAGAGGAAGTAGACGTGATATGCCTCTTTTTAGATTGAATGACTAGTCTCTTTTCTTCGTCTTTTTATCTTTCTTGTGTTCTCTTTTTTTTTAACCCGGAAGACAAACCTTAACCCGGAAGGCAAACCATTATGTTCTTTATCTTTATATCCTTTTTATTTTGTATAAAAATTATCTTATGTTCTTTATCCTTATATCCTTTTTGTTTTGTGTAAAAATTATCTTATAATATTCATATGTAATATTATATTTACTTTTATCTTTATCTTATTCTTTTTATCTTTATCTTACTATCTTTTTGTCTACTTTATCCTTCTTTTCTGGCTTGGATATCATGTATTGTCTCATGTTGGCCAACTCCCGAGGCTAAGACATCAATGTTGTTGTTGTTATTGTACAAAGCTAATAAACTAATAATGAGGTCAGCAAACATAAGCTTGGTAATATATTTGTTGCGGTATTTCTCATCTTGGGCGCATATTTGTTCCTAGAATTTGAAACAATTCCTTTACACAAGTAGGACACGATTTTGCCAAAATGGCTACCCTAGTTGTGCCCTTAAAGTAGTTGGAATGAGCATCATTAGTTGCGCACTTCTAATGGTTAAACATCACCAGAAATATTACATGTTATCAATCCATTTTATTATTGTAGCGTTTATAGCAGCAAACGGATCGTTATAGAAAAACAAAACCCAAAATAATTACGGAGTATAAGAAAAAACAGTGCCTGAAAGGAAGAAAACAAACTTGCAGCGGAACAAAGTGCTGGAAATCTCACCCAAAATAGAATGGACCTCTTTGGATATCGGCGCCTTAGGCCAAACCGCCAATTTTTTACAAAGGGAAACACTGCTTATTGTAGCGTTTTGGCATGAAACCGCCAAGAAAAAAGAGGTACTAGAACTCATGATAAAGAAATCAGAAAAACCAAATAATAAGAATGTTAAAAATCATTTTCATATCGGAAAATTCTACAATGCTTTCATATCGAAAAATTCTACAATGTCTTCAATACAGGGTGCATTAAGTACTGGGTGAAATTGTCACAATTGCGTGACAATGCTTCGCATTTGAACTATATATTTAAGCTATTCATGTTTGTCCCTCTCAGAATGTGTCAAAGACAGGACTCTAAAGGTTTTACAAGGGCTCAAAAGAAAGGTACTGAGCAAATCAACTCTCCACTTGTATCCAAACTATACTCTCCACTTTCTGATTGAATTTGATGTCCAAGGTTTTCTCCTTCTTATATCTAGGCAGCAATTTCTGTAAAAATATAGAGCAACTTTAGTAGAAACATAATAAGCTTGTACTTTTTACTTATGTAAATACATTCGATTTGCATTCCAATAAAAACTTCCAACTTTTGATTTCACTTTAAAGGAAAAAAAAAACAATCTATACGGCTCTTTTCTTATGCCCTTTTATTTCACTTTCAAAATGGTGAATTGAGGGGATTGAACGTATGAATTTATGCTCAGAACCCAGGAGTCATGAAAATACTGAACATAAAAACATAATGAGAGTGATAGCATGCAACAAAATAATTACTATGCAGCAAACAGAAAGGGTGCAAGAAATATATTTACCTCTAGTTGATCTATTTGCTACACCATAACTACCAAGACCATTGGTAGAAGTGTTAGGTACTATAACATCTGAGGATACACTTTTAAGCCCATAACCAATGGAACCAGGAACCTGAATTGTTGGAGATGATGAATACTGCAATGGATCCTCAAAGAATGAGCAATTCCCAGAACCATACAAGTTGCCCCCCAAATCCCTGCTATAAACATTTTCTTTTTGAGCAAACCTTCTCCCACTACCAAAGCTATCACTACCTCCGCTATTGTAATTTATGTTCTCATTCCCAAAAGAACAGTTCCTGCCCGTTTGGCTTGAAATAGAAGAGGAACCCCAAATTGTTCCCAGACTTCCTAAGCCAACAAATCCACCACTATGATTCTCTTTATCCCACAAGTTCCAACCCGATGAGTTCAAAACAGAACCACTTCCAATCGGACTGCTAAAGTAACTTTGTGTATCCCGATATCCAGATTTCGAGTATGGCTGTTCGAACAACGAATATCCGCTACGACCAACAGGGGTTGGACTATATCTATCGGTTCTTGTTCCATGGCCTGCTAGAGAATTTAGACCTTGACCTAGAGTATATCCGTTTAGGTAAGTGTTTACTCTGTTTGGTCCAGCAGGTAATGGACTTCGGTTAGGTCCAGGTGATAGCTCCTTAGGAACAGCTCGCTTCACCTCAACCATTTTCCCATTGAGTTCATGAAACAGTTTGTGAAGAACTCTATCCACTGCCTCTTCGGAGTCATAAGTGATGAATCCAAAACCTCTTGGCCTTTGGGTATTGTGGTCATACATCACCACAACATCAGTTACTGTCCCAAATTGATCAAAATACTTTTTAAAGTCACGCTCGGACACAGACGATGCTAACCCCCCAACAAAAATTTTTCTTGTTTGTGCGGTGGAAACTGGAAGTGTATTATTTACTACATTTCTGTTCGTGTATTGTTCATCTCTAGGAACAGCCTTCTTTGCCTCTACCTGGTGAGGAAATTAGAGATTAAAGTTAACTTCACTTTCAGAACCAAGAAGCAGTAAAACCCTCAAGCATTAAAAAAGTTCCATACTGTCTAAACCTCATTTTCCCAATAATCTTATTAGTCATTTTCAATGGTGAAGTATGTTGCAATCGTATTCATATTGTTAAAAGTGATAAAAAGAAAACTATATCAATATAATCTTAATATGTACTTTCGCTACATCAGAATGCTTGAACGTAGCCTTTTTCATCTCATTTTATGTCAAATAAGATGCTTATAGTCGTACTTGGTACTATAAAAATAATAACACTTCTGAAGCAATCTGATCAGCTTAAATGTGCAGTGAGCTACCACTTCTGTATGGATTTCTAGAAATGCTTAGGAACTAAAATAAGGGGGAGATTGGGGGAAATTATATATTGGATAAAACTCAATAAATCAAGTTAAGGTAATTGTTTGAACTCATATAGTGTATATATGAAAAATCTTAAAAAGTTATGATGAAATCAAAATTGTCTTAGTATTTTCCTAGATAAAACCAAACATATAAATCCATTAACCTTTACAATTTTTTTGGCATTTCCCTGCCATTTAACGAGTTCAAAAAAATCACACATAGAAGATTAGAAGAAAACGGCACAGTAAAAATTCGACTATATCACCTACAGTTCTGCCATCAATCATGTGTTTTGCTTTGACAACTCTTTCAGCAACAGAAGGGTCCTCGAAAACAACAAAACCAAACCCGCGGGCACGGCCAGTGGCCCGATCTTTCACGATCACCGCCTCGACCACTTCCCCAAATGTCTGAAAATACTCTTTGAGTCGCTCTTCATTAGTATCCCATGAAATGCCACCAACAAACAATTTTCCAGGATCCATTTCCATCCTGAACATGACAGTCGATATCAAATGAAACAAAACCGAAATATAACCATTTGCTTACATATCCAATTGTTTTGTTAACCCATCCATTACAGAAAGAGATGATCTGACAAGATTGATAAGTAAATCTTAGCAAGTGTAGAGTGCAACTTCTGCTTTTCTCTTAAGAACCACAAAGAAGAATCTATTGCCTTGTCGATCACACCAGTCCAATAGAACGTGTACATTACGAAACAACAAAAACTTTAAAAAGGGAGAAATTCGAAGTTTGAAAATCAAGCCATCCAGACAAAAAAACTATGCAATATCAACCCAGAAGAAAGAAAAACAAGACTAATAAGATCTTCAACTTAAAGCAATCGGAAACATAGCATCAATATACATACATAAGCCGAGTAGCTGGATTTACCAGATGAGGAGGAGAGAATTCAGCTGGGGAAATTCAAGATCTACAGAAAATGTGTATGTGAATAGCTGAGGGCTGGAAGTGCCCTCTCTTTTTCCTTTCCTCAGGCACCGTATTTAGAATTCACGACATGCTTCAATAGCATATATATACACCCACAAAGACCGGGGCAAGACAGGGAAATTCTATCATAAATTGGCTAGAAATGGGAGAGAGGATCATGTGTAATTTTTAACTCAATTCATTTTGTTTATCCGGGCCTTCATATTTCATTTTTTATTTTATGTACATTATAAGAAAGTGATAATGTTGGAACACCGTTTGAAAATATTTGACATTGTTTTACACTATTTTGTTATCAAATAAGGAAAAAAAACTTTTATTTAGAAACGACTCGAAAAGGAAAGAAAGACTTTTATTTAGGGATGAAGGGAGTATATGACTTCTAAATTTTAATTTTAAAGTCTAGTTTACTCATACCAAATTTCAAGTAAAAATTCAACCGGAAAAACAATCAAATGATTTTCTGAAATATACTGCGATGTTATCTTCAAACATTTATTTGACTGCCTTCACGATTGAATTTTTAACTGAAATTTGGTATGGGTAAACTAGACTTAATGAAAAAGATGATCAAAAAATTTCATTAAAAAATTTCACCGGTAACCGTCTCAAATGACGACGGCCAGATAGAGCCTCCTATAAAAGGTGTGATTTGCATTTTTTCGGTTAGTTCGAGGTCTTATTTGCCCCTTTTTCCTAGATAGAATTTGGAAAACTCATCTTAATGTAGTGATTATGCACAATAGTGTTGTGATTTAAACAAATGCGGTAAATATTTTATATTAAATATTTTATGTGTCTTGTTTTGATTAGCCACAACTATTAATAAAATGATTGACAGAGTAAAACTTGTTATTGAAATTTGAATATACAATAAAGTGATTTGTTTACCGCAAATTTCTTTCTAAAAAAATAGATATGGCAGGTATTTTTGGACAATACAAAAACAAAAGTAAGACTTACTCGGTATAAAATAGGACTCACAACTCACACATGAGTTTTACGTTTAGATTGATTAGCTTTCACCCAGAAAGCACATGCCATAGCAATTCTTATAAAATGACACTTTATAAATGACGTAATTTTGAATAAATTAAAAAAAAACATGTGACCGGTACACGAGTGTACAATAACTATTTTTTTCTTTCTTTTTGTCCAAGTAGCGTGAATGATGTAATGCGCGTGTAAAGGTATGTAACTTACGTTATTGATCGATGTAACTCAAGTTCATTCGAAATGTAACTTGTCAAATACATAGTATATGAAATAAAATATTGATTTCAATGTAAACAATAAAAAAAGAGTCTAATTGCACAATTGCTTTACATAAATAGTGTATATGTTTTATTTTTTAATGTCAAGGCCATTGAAAATGATTTTAAAAAAAAAAATCATTTTTTTCTTCATTAGCAGGGGTTTATTTTCATATGTAAATCGCGTTATGGCAAATGTAATTCACGTTGATTAAATATGTAACTCACATGTATGCAAAATGTAACTTTTGAGATAAGGTCAAATGTAACTTGCGAGTATACATTAATTCAATATTTGGAATAATATTGAACGTAAAACGAACACAAAATGTCTTTAATTACTGACACTCAATATTTGGAATAATATTAACTACTCCCTTAAGACATTGTTATACTCCCTTAAGACATTGTTAACTACTCAATATTTTTTGGGCAAAAAAACAATATTTGGAATAATATTAACTACTCCCTTAAGACATTGCTATACTCCATTTCTTTCTAAACTATTCATACGATATTATTTCTTATAAAAAAAATATTTAGTAGATATAAGTATTAATATTAGTTAGATGTAATATAAGTAAATATAAGTAAATAACAACTATATAATTAGATGTATTTTAAAAATATATTTCTAAAATATTGTATTAATTAGATGTAATATAAGTAAATATAAGTAAATAACAACTATATAATAAGTAGATACTAAGTAGATAATATGTGTATTTTATAACTTATAAGTAGATAATAACTATATTAGCAGATGTAATAATTGTATAACTAATATATAATATAATGTTTATAGTATATAAGATATAAGTATATTAATAGGAAACTAATATAAATAACTAAGTATATAAGTATATTAGTAGTATTAATATAACAATAGTAATAGGAAATTACTGATATAAGTATATAACAATACAATTAATTAATAGTATAATTATATATGAAAATTTAAATACAGTATATAATATTAGAAATAATAAGAATAGTAATAATAATTAAGAAAGTGGAGAAGAGTAGTAGATGAATATGACGAAATTGATGAATATAGAAGATGATAGAGAATAAGAGAGTAGAGAATGATTTGTGTGAAAAAATGAAATAAATAGGTATTTATAGAAAAAAATTCCCCCAGTCCCCAGGAACCCCCCCCCCCCCCCCTTCTCCCAACGCCTATAGAGCCATTTGAGAGCTTCCCAATGGCTCCCCAACGGCTATTTATTTATTTTTTTAAAACAAAAGTTACCGTTAGACCCGGGCTCGGGCCCTACCCGGTCGGGCTGGTTCACCAAAATTCAGTCCGAGAACCGCCCCGCTTTCATTCCCGGGCGGGCCTAGGCCCGTAACTGTTACCCGATGCCCGTGCCGATCCGGACCCGCACAATGGCGGGCCGGTCCGGTTCACGGGCCGGTCGGCCTGGTCCCGGTCTAAGACTAGCTATGGCCGGAGCCAGATTTGTCAATTGACTCAAAAGTTTAAACTAGTAAAGCATTGAAACTTTCTCAAAAAAATGGGTGATACTCCATCCCTGAGGGCCCCCCAATGGACGGTACGTTGGGAGGATGTAAGTAGGACTATAATCTCAATCTGACAGATAGAGAGTGAGGCTCTGTCCCCGGTACTTGTAGAGACCCTATGCATTTTTTAGCATAGTAACCTCTCATCGCAGTTGCTGCGATTCGAACCTGATAAATTTGGAAATATCATTTGATATAATGATGTACTAAAAGCTATAACTCCAGAAAAATTGACATTATCTGAATTTGAAAATGATAAAACTTGATGTGTCATATAGATGACATTTCCAAATTTAAAAATTTCGTCTTATTCACTTATGAATATACAAAATTTATATAATGTATTGTTAGGTATTGGTCCAGTATTTTCCATAAGCCCAACTCAACTTAGGATGCACTGGCCCATTGTTCTTTTCCTCTTCCGCACCGAGCCTTTGATGTTGTCGATCGGCTTCTTCTCTCGCGGTTCTTTCCTTCCCTGGGTAGTGATGTGCATATCTCCTTTGCAAGGTAAGTTACCATTCTTGGTGCTTTACTCTGCCTATTTAAAGTCTCTCCTTCTCGTTCGATTCGGTGCTTGGCCGAAACCCTCTTCTCCCTCTTTTTCGCACATTGACTTGGTTGGTCGGAATTAGGTTGAGTTGGCCGGAAAATAGCCCGTTGGTTGACGCCCCTTTCCCTTTATAGACTGTAGTGGTGGTTCTTCATCCTTTGTGGGTGAAATCGGAGACCTGAGCTGGAAATTACAGTGGTATCAGAGACGGGAGAGGTCTGCTGCCGCCACGCCGCCGCCGCGCCGCCGCCTGCCGCCGGTTCGTCGCCCTCCGCTGCTGTCCAGAAGTCCAGAGAGGTCTGCCGCCGTCTGCCAGGAGCCTGCCAGCCCTGTCCGCTGCCAGTCCTGACCTGCTGCCGCCAATCTAGGAGCTGTGCCGCCAGTCCAGTCCGCTGCCGCCACGCCCTACAGCAGCTCACGCTGCCTACGGTAAGTCGGGTCACCCAACCTCGGGCCCCGCTCAGGTAAATTGGCTTGAACACCCTTGGTGTACCGGAGTGCCACCGGATTTATTTGTTCCCCGCTCCCCGCTGCTGACCTGCGTGGTCTAGGATGCCGGCTGTGCCCGGCCCCAGGTACGTTTACTAATCCTTTGTGTGATTTTTATTCGTAGTTCATTCATTTTTTAATTTCAAGTTGAATTACAATTTCATGTTTGTTTAAATTGTGATTACTTGTTGGTTTGTGATTAATTTTTTCCGGTGAAGAATATTTTTGTTTGGATACTCATTGTCCAAAATTGTGAATATTTCTTCCGGTTTAAATTTAATCACATGTTGGATTTTTTATTTTGATTTTTCTGTTGATTGATTCGTGGATAAACTCTCCGGTTAAGAATATTTGTTTGGATACTTGTTGTCCGAAGTTGGAAATATTTCTGTCCGGATTAGTTTTAAATCCCGTCTCTTTGTTTGTTGTTTTAATTCTAGCCTATTTGCGCTTGTACGAAAGAACAAGGAGATTGTACCCGAGCTTTGTGTTCATTGGTCTTCTCGGCTTGTTCGTGCTAGTTGCTTCGTACAATTGATAGCCCTATAGGTTATAATTAATCATTTATCTGTCTGTTGAGTAAATAAAATTTTTTATCTGTGCTTGTACGAAAGAACAAGGAGATTGTACCCGAGCCTTGTGTTCATTGGTCTTCTCGGCTTGTTCGTAATAGTTGCTTCGTACCGGTTGATAGCCTGATAAATTTTTTATTTACTCTCTTGCGTGTTGTGCTTGCTTTCCTGTTAATATGGCTGTCAATCAATATGGCATGCTTCCATTTAACGGAAAGACAGATTTTGATATCTGGAAACAGAAAATCAAATGTGTGTTGATCCAACAGAAAGTCTATAGAGCCGTGACCGGTCTCTATTTAGACTCTGAGGATGCTGCTAAGCGTGTTGAGATGAATGAAACTGCTTGTTCCTCTATTTACCTAAACCTTTCTGATTCAGTGCTCAGGAAGGTGGGTATTATAGATTCCGCAAAAGAGTTGTGGGACAAGTTAGATAAGTTGTATACCGATACTTCTTTGCCTGGTAAATTGTTTTTGCTTGAGAAGTTCTTTAGGTTTAGGCTTGACCTGACCAAAGACATAGATGAGAACCTAGATGTGTTTAACAAGCTTATTCAGAACATTAAGCAAGCCGGTGATAAACACATAGATGACTACACACCCATAGTGTTACTTAATGCCATCCCTGACTCTTACAATGACGTCAAATCTGCCATAAAGTATGGTAGAGACGATATCTCGTTAGATATAGTCGTTAATGGATTAAGGAGTAAGGAGTTAGACCTTAGAC